TGAGGATACTGTGTTTCCAAGACCAAAATCAGTTGCCCATGTGACAAAGGTAAGAACCAGTAAAAGCGTCAAACCTGTACAGTGGAACCCCGCCTTATGGCCACCTCGGTAATATGTGGTCACCTCATTTTCATGGCCAGTTTTTTCATCCCAGCAAAATGGCCATACATTTCCTTATAAAAAACCCCAGTTAATGTGGTAACCCATTATTACAGCCAATGGGCACAAGGTAAAATCCCAAATGATAGAATCACTTATAATTTCACCCTGTTAATAAGGCCCATCGTTCGAAAAATAAAATGCCTGTGACATGTCAATTTTATTGACCTAGTAATATGAGCTTATTTTTGTACTGTTTTTGGACTACAGTACACTTAAAATGCACTGGTGGAGATTTATTATTATAGCCAAATTTTAAGAGTTTCATGTACTGAAGGAAAAATTTTGAAGTAGTTTTTTCAATTACTGTACGTGATATGTACTTTCCAGTTGTTTATTAATGAGAACAGTAAGTTGTTCAAAAAATGCAAATGCAATCTATGGTCTATTTGTCATTATGGCCCTAAAATCATGAAATCTGAACCTGCCCCGATAACATGGCCACCCTGTTAATGCAGCCAGTTTTTGTTACCCATTGGTGACCGTATTAATGGGGTTCTACTGTATAGAGTGTTTTCACATGACATCACGGCGGCCATGTTGGTGTCCCAAACCAATCATGTGGGAGTTGAACTCTTTTGTTACGCAAATGCTTTCTTTTGTTGCGATAAATTTGCATAGATGCTGGCCATGTGATTGAAAACATTACACTCTATTAATGGGCTTGCTTTAAGCGGTCACTCTCTCAGCAGTTGTGGTCACCTTTTTCTGTGGTCCCAACAAGTTATATTTTATTGTCTTCACCTCTAAGTTTAATGGTCATCAGTATGTTTCTTGTTGTACTTTAGGTCAGCTATGATGGTAGGCAATAATATTGCAAGCCATCGGTATTGTTACCAATGAAACAATGATGAAAAGTTGCCACACTGTAATATCATTATAAGGTCAAAACCTTGTCACCAAACTTCTGGCCCTCCTAATTACTGATTATCGTAGTAAGCTGTAACCAAAATGCTAAAATAATTGCAAGGTAGTACTGGACATATTTAACAGTCATTAAAATTATTTTATTAATATAAACAACCCCTTGCATTCTGTTCAATTGAACCCAAATAAACATTTACTGTTCACAAACTTATCTCTGTAATAACGATTGAATTATCTTACACACGAAAAACATACAACATTATGACAAAAAGTAAGAAGGAGAATATTTTGAAAGGGGCTCCATGGCTGAATAAAAAATAGTCATAGGCTACCGCTAACATCAGTGGGAGAATTCTGCATAGTAAATGGGTAATTCTCTGATCTCTGATGCCTAATAAATACCCTGAAAAAGGTACATTAAAGTAGTTCTCCTTCTGTACAAATTAGGCAAGTCATGAGGCTTTTGGTAAAGAGAATGCATCACGTTATTACCCAGTGAATGGTCCTTCAGGCAGAGCAGAATCAACCTCCACTGTGGGGAGTTCGTCTAATGAGCAATCAGGGCTAAGCAGTAGAAATGTAAAGAGGAAAGTTTTGAGAAGAAGAAATGGGGAATCAAGAGTGTTTGATGAGTCATTTGCTAGCACTGATTCTGGTAAGTTCAATTCTACTGAAGTGGAATTGGCTGCAGTGTCTTTCCTAACTTTTTTTACTGCACATATATGTGCTGTGGGAACAAATTCCAGGTGTACACACATAACAAATGAAAAGAGCCTTGGGACCATTCAGCATAATATAGAGTTTTTGTCATTAAAATACTGTAGATAATTAAATAATAAAAACTTGGCCTTGTGTTAAGCCTTGATACCAATACCATCTGAGCTACAATACAAAATAATTAATATTACCAATGTTATTGTTAGTTAATAAATATTAAACCCATCAACAATAGATGGGTGTGGGGAAGGTGTCTGAGGAAGCAGAAGGGGGCCGCAAGTGATCTTAGAAGCCAGAAGACCCATCTTTCTTATTGTTAGCTGAATTTCTTAGTATATAAAGCCACACTGCCATAGATCCAAATGGAACAAGTGAGATTTAAAAATATATCAATTTCATAATAGGAGAGGCACACACTAGTGGAGCCTCATACATATAGCTAAGAAAATTTGGTCCTCTATCCATTCGAGAAATCTTGGTACTCATGTGACCATATATCCGTCCGACCGTCTGTCCATCCACCCATCCGTCTGCACCACAGTGAAACCAATGTAAAATCTCACACTTTTTAGCAAGTGTGGGAGCCTGCAACCTGATTATTGCACACCCATATTGCTGTCAATTGACAACACTGTCAAAAAAGGGTATCTGCTGACCAGGATCACATGACCATATCATGTGCTCAGGTGTCAAACCATCAAGGTTACATGTTTTTTTGAAGTTATAAGCTGACAAGTTACTAGTTTTCAAGTGATCGTAGGCTCAACTCCAAGTGGATTTTGTTGCAATGATTACAAGTTTATTGTTTGAAGTAAATTATAATTTATTACCAGGATCTTTGCTTTTAGCCTTGGGTAAATCTTTTTATTATTTTTAGTCACAGACATATCTGAATTAGAGCAGAGAATACGGGACCTTCCACTCCATAGTGACAAGGCTGATGATGAAGATATCATCAGTGTAGCAAGTGAAGGATCTACTGAGCCAAGTGATTACAGACCATGGGAAAATCATGCTGACAGAGCTTTATTGCCTTCATGTAAGTTTATCAATAAAATGTACCAGTACATCAGCAACAAGACTAGTTATTGGTTTAATTTGTTATAGAGTGACACTCAAACCGGAAAACTTAGAAGACAACTGACCAATCTCAATGTTTTCTGGAAAAAAAGATTCTCAAGTTTTTTTGCAAACAGACCAATAAAATTCATAAATTTGAGAGCTGTTTCCTGAGAGGTCAGGTAAGTTCAAATGGTTATAAAGTTTTCAGTGGTTGCATAGTTGAATACTTGAATTTTATTGGTCCATTTGCAAAAAACTTAGAATCTTTTGTCTTCAGAAAATGTTGTGATTGGGGGTCAATCAAGTGTCAAGTAAGAGTAAAAATTTTCCTATCCATTTGTCCTTCTGGTCAAACAAAATTAGCTCAAAACTCGAAACTCAAAAGCAATATAAGGCATTTAACCCTTGTTAATTTTTTTTGACTTAAACCTAAAACAGAGCTCCTAAAAACGATAAAATGACCATTGAATGGCAAAGTTAAAAGGAACATTTATATTTAACCTTATTTTGTCAAGTATGAGGTTTGCTTTTATGACTTTTAAGATGAATTTTAATTCTACTGTAATTTGAAGACAACTTTCTAATAAATATAAAAACGTGCTTGTCCCACGGAAAAGTCATGTCAAAGGTTTACAAGTCTGAACGAAATTTCTACCTGTCCCCGACAATCAGACACAGGTTTTGGCACATCCTGGTGTCCACACTGTATTAATACTGTAATAGGCAATGTACATTGTTTCATGGTGATGTTTGTTTTTGTTCTGTATGTTAATATTTTTCAAGCATAGCCTATTAAAAGTATACATTTGGACCCTTTGGTGCAATTGGCCATTTTCACCAGTGTGTCAAGTATTTATTACTTGTCATTATACATTAGTTGAAGTAATTGGAAGAACCGTCACAAAGAGGGCAGAGCTGTCATTAAAGGCTGTAACACGTAACACCTGTTATTGCTGAGCTCACTTGATGTTACAGGTGATCACAGTGGAAAGCTAAAGATTACACTGTAAATTTTTTGTGAGATGTTACAGGTGAATCTTCACTTGCCAGGGCTGCTTCAAAACTTTATGACAACCCCTGGAGGACTCTGAATTTGTTTGGTGAATGTGATAGTTGTCTTGCTCAACCGTGAGGAATTTTGTGTATTTGTTATGTAATTGGTTTATAACCTATTACTTTTCTTTGCAGTTATAAGGCCTGTCGTTGGTCCTCCTCTCTCTCGAAAGAAGACTGATCCAGTGTCAAGGTTTGAAATACATTGGATATTAATAATTTCTACCAATCTTTTCATTTCCTTAAAATTAAAAAATGTTCTCGTTGTTGTTGTACATGTATTTTGTTATCAGGTATCACCAGTTTAAGGATGAATGGAAAGCGAAAAAAGCACCTGGAGAAAAAAGCCACAAAAATCTTCGCTGGAATGTCCGGGTAATGAGTGATTATATTGTATTTTCATTATTCCACATCAGTCTTACGGAATCATTCAGACTCTTTAAAATTGGGGAAATTATTCAGTGCAGCCAGATATGTCTGAGTTCTTGGAACTAATGTTAATGTCATCTTTTGTTCTTTTTCCAAAAGGGAAAAATGTTGCAGTGTGATGTGTTTGAGGTAAGTGAAATAAAAGGCTTCGTTATTATAATAATAGTATATTAGTATATGTAATATCATGATTTGTAGTGATCTTTGGCATAAATACCACAAGTGATATTTTGAAATTGTTATACATAATNGATCACAGTGGAAAGCTAAAGATTACACTGTAAATTTTTTGTGAGATGTTACAGGTGAATCTTCACTTGCCAGGGCTGCTTCAAAACTTTATGACAACCCCTGGAGGACTCTGAATTTGTTTGGTGAATGTGATAGTTGTCTTGCTCAACCGTGAGGAATTTTGTGTATTTGTTATGTAATTGGTTTATAACCTATTACTTTTCTTTGCAGTTATAAGGCCTGTCGTTGGTCCTCCTCTCTCTCGAAAGAAGACTGATCCAGTGTCAAGGTTTGAAATACATTGGATATTAATAATTTCTACCAATCTTTTCATTTCCTTAAAATTAAAAAATGTTCTCGTTGTTGTTGTACATGTATTTTGTTATCAGGTATCACCAGTTTAAGGATGAATGGAAAGCGAAAAAAGCACCTGGAGAAAAAAGCCACAAAAATCTTCGCTGGAATGTCCGGGTAATGAGTGATTATATTGTATTTTCATTATTCCACATCAGTCTTACGGAATCATTCAGACTCTTTAAAATTGGGGAAATTATTCAGTGCAGCCAGATATGTCTGAGTTCTTGGAACTAATGTTAATGTCATCTTTTGTTCTTTTTCCAAAAGGGAAAAATGTTGCAGTGTGATGTGTTTGAGGTAAGTGAAATAAAAGGCTTCGTTATTATAATAATAGTATATTAGTATAGGTAATATCATGATTTGTAGTGATCTTTGGCATAAATACCACAAGTGATATTTTGAAATTGTTATACATAATTTCATGGGCCGTTAGGCAAGTGAAATTTATTTAAGACAATTTTGAAATATCATGAGTGGTATTTATGCCAAATATCATGTACAAATCATACTATAAAATTATTTGTTTTTCACAATAGGTATTTCAAATTAAGCTGAAATACCACTGCTCTAGGCCAATCAAATTGCAGAAATTTAGACCTCATGTAGTAGAATAAAATCAATAACATTAATATAAATTAATAGTATTTATAATAGTAAAGGGGTGCAATGAGTAAGGCCTCAAGTGACTCCTGATTTAACATCAAATTCTCCCTTTAATTAAAAAGCAAATGCAAGCCAAACTTGAAGGAGAATTAACATTGTATTGATAGTAACTGGAAGGACTACAATTTCAATTTTACTTTAATTTGTGGTTGTCTGCAGATTACAGTTTGATGTCAGTTTAGTGTAGCTTAAGAATCTCGTATGCGTGAAGCGTGAGCTCTCCATTTTCAGCCTCACTCCAGACGTTTTGTGATTACTCACGCGTGACTTGAATGCGCAAAAAATTAATGCAGACTCAATGCGGACTGTTTTACAGTCTAAGTAATTGATGATTTATATTATTATAAATTTCTAACCACCTTCATGGTGTTTAATTATCTTTCCTTCTTAGAAACCTCAACGAAATTATGTCCCCAACAACTATGTAGTCCCTACAGAAAAGAAACGGCAAGCTTTGCGGTGGGAAGTGAGATCCAACTTAGCACGAGTGTGACAAGCAATATTTCAGGATCGAAGCCTTAATTATTTATAAAATTCATCACTTGATTAATTTTTGTACACACAACACTGGTGGCAAAAAAGAACTTGTACAGCTTAGTAGTTAGGCTATGGATCATTATGATTTATAATATGTAGTTATTGAAATAAATTTGTCATTTATTATTATTTTTGTTGTCAGTTGAGTTCATCTGCACTGTCTTTTGTTAAAAAGGTAAAACACTGCAGCAACATCTACTCACCTAATGTACCTGCGGTTTTTCTCCTGAATTTCTTTACAGTCAAGCCAGGTCAAGCATATCCCACCCCCCACCCAAGATTCCATAAATGAATTTATTATTCAAAAGTTTAATCTGTTGGTAGTTAGTTGTACAGTAGATTTCACATTCAACTCTGCATTCCTGCATGCTTAATGAACAGTGAATTCACACGCGAGGTAGTTATGACTTTTTTTAAAGATTTTTCAATCTGACTGAATACAGAGAAGTTATCCTAAAAAAATCACTGCTCATTAGGCATGCAGATTTGAATTTGGAACTGGTTGCAGCAATGACTTCAACAAAAATTCCAGTTTGAAATTTCGGAAATTTCATGTGCCCAATGGAATGGTACATTCCGGTTGCACAGACCCCACCCAAGCCACCGCACGTTTAGGTATTGTTCTTGTAAGCAGGATACAAAAGAGCGGTACTGGGGGAGACACAATTTTGTCAAATGGAAAGGGACATTTCGGTCCGACCAACTGAGAAGACCAGACCGGTCAGAGTGGACCACCTTCAAAGCTGGACCCGAGTATTCCAGTCGGACCAAACCAAAATGGTTGGTTTCATTTGATGTACCAACTGAAATTTCCGGATTTTCGGGTTGCATGAAAAACACCCATGGATTTATTAATGGAATGTTGGGGGGTAAACATGACCTGGCTTGACTATAACTTTCACTGCCTTACTATCTATCTATCTGAAACTTTCCAGACCTTAGATAACACAGTTCCAATCAGCACTTTAAATTAGCGTCATCCCAAGAAGTCATTGTCTTAATGAAGTGCACTGTTGTGTGGAAGGAGATGTCCTTGGCTTAGTAATTAGAGGTTTCTTCTCATTAATAGGTAAAGGTGCACACGAGCCAAGGGCCCATACGGCCAGAGCTTATTCTGGTTTCCTTAACATGAAGCATGCCTAGGAGTATTGCTACCCCCCCCCCCCACCCCCCTCGCAGCAGCATGTCACTGGTACCCATTTATACACCCGCGTGAAGAGAGACAAATAGTGGAGTACAGTTCTTTGTCTAAGGAAACAACTCGACAGAGATTTTTAGCGCGAGCATTTAGTGTGACTAATAGGTTTCGTATAAGAGTTGTAGGCGATTAAGAGCACGCGCGCACTTTTCATTCTAAAATTTTTAACAATTTAAATTTCAAACGTTATATGTAACCGTTATCATCACACGATCATACTGTTGATGTAGACCCTAATGCTTCAGTGTTATAACAGTTCACCTACTCGTCTATATATATACTATTTAACAAATAGATT